GCCTGTGCCTGCTCCTGAAGCTCTTATATATCCTGATTCTGTAGACCTTAAAAGGGCTGCTTCTGAAGACTTTAAAAAACCTGTTCCTGGAGATCCGGACGATATTCTAAATCGTTTTGCTACTGATCGTGTGGAAGATATAATAGCTCATGCCAAGAAAGAAGAACCAGTAACTAACCCTAAAGCAGAAATAATTGAAGATGCCCAAGACATTATTAGCCCTAAAGATGACGATGAATAGGCACTAGACAGTTTCAACAAAATATGTGATGGTATTGTTTTTTTGTGAAATACGATACAATGGTTTATAAACAATATTATTGAGACGAGTTACGAACCTACTTTGTTATCCTTTGATATACTTCTTATGCAGTTGCACTTCATTTCGTACGTTTGTTTTATGATTAGAATTTTCTATTTGATTACATTACAATCATTGTTACTGTATTTATTGTTTTATTTCTGACCTACATCACTTCAGTTTTCACAGCTGCTGCAATTTTCCTGATAAGAAAACGTCGGAAACTCTGCTGCTATGGTATTGCTTTGTTTCCATGATTGAAGTACAAACATGTTTCTTGAGCATAACAACGGAACATAATCTCTATATTTGTATAAATAGAATTTACTATTGTATTCATTAGAAAATTTTAAGACCTTTTTCTATTAAAGCTTTTGCAGAATTATTATTGGAAGTATCTGCTTTATGTAGGTATATGACTATTATTTCTTTGCTAGCTCCAGTCTACTAACAACATTTTGCATTTAGCGCATGTCTGTCTGTTCGTCTGTTAGCACGTTTCTCTCCAGGTGCTAAATTAGTTATTCACTGACCTCTTATTAGCATGATTATGATCACGTCATTTTGGTTATAGTTATGACATAAGTATTTATGAAAATAATCTATGTTATATCGGTGAATTAAATTTAGGCTGAATTTTTCCGTTCATTTGGAGAATATCTTTATTTCTATCATCACTTGTTTTTATCTAGTTATCAAAGCTATTTTTTTTCGTTTGTTGCTTTATATCAATACCGAAGTCAAGGACAAGACTATCTTTTTGCACTTTATTTTGTACTTATTTGAAAATCAGATCAAATAGCTTTTTATTGTTTTTGCAATATTGTCATGGTTTTATTTGCCTTTTCATATTTACAAATGGGGTGGTATTTTCTCCTTCTTTAGGTCAAGTATCAATAATTAGGTTGGTCATTACAAATAGATTGATTTTAAGGAGAACCGGATCATTCAATGATTATGATTTCGCCCTGAGTAGGGTGACACGGACAGTCAGATTCTTACTGACTAAAAAGCACCCCGTACCTTCCTCCTGCTCGAAGCCAGGGTCGCGGTACCTTAATGCACCAACCAGCTAGCTTTATTAGTCTATTAAAATATTCACAGTAAATGTTAGTGAAACGAGCATAAATGAAATGACATTGAAACAGACGGCACTACAGACAGGCCTGATGTGTGACTCAGTAATCAAATAGTACCGCGTACTGTTGACCGTCAAAGTCAAGTTCAAAGTCAAATAATATATCGAAGGTTATTAGATAATCGTTACGTAATAAATTCGCCTTTTATTTGTTAGGTGTTGCAAATGTTTCTAGTTTTACGATCATACTTACTAAAAAGAATAAAACCAAGGACTTTTTACTCGTTTTCTTAAAGTGGTTTGAAGGCTTTTCAGCGAAATCTGCGTGTAATTAATAATTAATTAGCTAAGCTACGGCACCGGAGTGATACCACGGCCTCACAGAAAACCGGCGTGAAACACAGCGTTGTGTTTCGCCGTGTGAGTGAGGTTACCGGAGACGACCCATTCGTGCCGAAGCATGGCTCTCCCACACTTTCCATGTTGCGTTTTCAGAAGTAAACGTCATTTGGCCTAATATGATGATGATTTTTAGATATAAAAATTGAATTAAGTATAATTATTTTCTTATTTTTTTTTTTACTATCCTGTTGTTTTTCTATAAATAATAACAGTCAATGTTTATTAATGTTATTGTCGTTGTATCACGGACGATGACTCCTGCATCCATTATTTCCTTTCAGTAGGAGGAAATTGCTTCGTAAATATCATTATAGGTATGTATGTGTACCGGATCATTGGTTTACATTTTACGAATTCTAGAACACAATTCCAATTAATATTACTTTTAACAAATTTTGTGTTTACAGGTTTTCAGGTACAGAAACGTAGACAAGTTTAGTATTCTTTCGCTTATTAGTCTCATCAATCAATGGATTTATTTATTTGTAGACATAGCTATACGTTCCAATTATATACAATGTGTAGACGAATCTTTATTTTTATTATTTCTTTACAACATTTTTTAACATTACACACATATTCTTTTTAATATTTTTGTCAATTAACTCTTATTATTATGGAGCGATATCAATATTATTCTATCTACACTCATATTAAAATAAGGAAACCGTAATGGAGAAAAAATACACTTTACTTTGCACGTGAAAATTGCATTACTTTATCGAGCTAGGTTTTAATAATTAAATATTCCTTAGACCACAGAAAATAAGCTCTTCATTATTAAATCCCTGCAAAAACAAAATTGAAATCGCTTCATCCGTTCAGGCTCCAGGATGCCCCAGACAGACAGACAGACACGTCAAAGTTATAACACCCCTCTTTTCACGTCGGGGGTTAAAAAGAACTTTACACTTTAAACTTATCTTATTCTCGTAAGTACTTAAGTAGTACATGTACAACTAGTTTTCTAAGAGAAAACTCGAAACATCTCGTCTAGGCATTAAACTTGTAAGCAAACAGTACCTACAGGCATAGTGCATTGTATGTGCAGGTGGCGACAAGCCGACAATGTCAATATTTACTTATACTGCACTTTCCAAGGAAAAGTTAGTCAACCATTTTACATGCAATTCAGAAAATATCCTTTATAATATGTCAAATTCAATACTTTTATTCAAATGTCAAAACGATATTTTTCTATTAAATTTGTATGAAAGACTGATTTATGACGTCATAGTATTTTTTCGTCAAATATCTTACTTATTTCTTAATAATTAGCTATAAAATATCAAAAACTTAGTGTAGCGATCGATCGCTGAATAAAAGTATAGTTATTTTTCAATATTTGATTGTATTCAAAGGTCGAATTAATTTATTTTTGACCTAGGAAACTACCCAATTTGGCAAGGCTACTCGGTACCCTTACAAAATAAACTAATATCTTCCATTTTCATACCTACTGACAATGATATACATACTTAGAGAAATATCTAATGATGTGGACTTAAAAAATGTTGATGTTTTTACTCATTTTCTCGTATTTTTTTCATGTTCTGACCTTTCCTACACTTCTGCGAATATTCAAAGACTAAAATTAGCCAATACAGTGCAGCCGTTCTCGAGTTTCATTGAACGAGATTAACGAACACTAATTTATTATTTGAGACATTAAGAAGAATCCTTTAGGGATGTAATTTAAAACTAGTTTAATATTGAGTTCATTTTTATGGAGATCCGTTTGTAATGAGACGGTTTACACCTGATGCTAAGCAATCATCCTCCCATGAACAAAAGCAATACCCGAGGAGTTTTGATGAGTTGCAGACCTTTAAGCATTGAGCATTCAAGAATTGGTCTACAGCTAACTTCACTCATGCAGCGACACAGAACATAAGTTGTTTTATGACAGTTACTTGTATGTATTTTTTGTATTTTTTATTTTTTACTTTTTTGTATTTTTTACTTTTTCTTTTTTTTTTTAGTGGGAGGTTGCCGCGTCAAGATACAGAAGGGACTGAAGCACCAGCAGCTGCCCCTCCACCACCTCCAGGAAAACCTGCTGCACCGGTGCAAACGAAAGAATTACCACTTCTGCCCTTACCCACAACTAGATTGTAACTATCGGCATGAAGTAGGTTTGTTGTTGGGGCCATCCATTAATCGCAATCACGGAGTAGGGCTCTATAAGGGGGAGAAGAATCACGAAATAAACCTACGTATCTTATAAATAAAAAACAAAATATATTATTTGACAATGGATGAATTTAAGTAGGTAATTATATTTTAAAAGTACTTTCAGTACCCAACGGTTTAAAAGTACTTTCAGTACCCAAACTATAATACCATCTCAATGCCAAATGTTCTTCTATGTCCAGCTGGACCGGAATTTTATTATACCACTTATAAAACCGGCGTTAAGCCACTTTTGCGTTGTCTTTCTTCGTATAAGTGAGTTTACTGAACCGAAGCTAGGTGTAATCTTCCCCTTCTTCCCAGCCCTAATCCATAAATCCCTGATCCTACAATACCTAATTCTCAGAACCAGGTGAATTAATCATCAAACAAATACATCAAAAAACAAAACGAGCAAGCGGAAAAAAAAAATCTTTTAAAATAAAATGACGAGTACTAGGACGTTCTATGTGTTTTAAAAAAATTTAACTCCTAAAAAGTTCTAAAATAAAATTGCTTGTTTCTAAAATCTACTGCTGTAAAAAATGGTCAATGCATTAAGTAAAAATTTTTTTGCAAGAAGTATTCAATACATAAAAAAATAAAGTAAATGTCGTTTTAACGCAAAGAAGTTGGAGGATAAAAAATAAAAATGATTAAATATCTAATTTCCAAATTTTGTATTGTCATCATCTAGTAAATAGATATATTGGGACGGAACATTCTCATATCGCGATTTCTAGCTTCACCTATGGGTCACCAAAAATCCTAAATTGAACATTTACTTGGGAATTAATTCACGACTGCACCCCATACATTTGGTTAGGTCAGTACTGCGACAATCCATCGAAATATCTACACGTTTTTGGCACTACATTTTATTCTTTTCATTTATTTATTGAGGAATTTATTTTATATTATTTGGCGACTATGTACTGGTGACAAATATAATAGCTTTAAAATAAAAAACATTTAAGATACACAAACGTAACTTACAGTACGCCCGACGTATCTTGGCGAGTCTGAAGTTAGCCGTTTGTCTGCGCAATGGATCTAATTGTGTACTGCGTAGATTATCGGCTAACTTCAGACTCGCCAAGATACGTTGGCGGTAAAGTCGGTAACTGGCAAAGGCTTAAATGATACTCGTTCAAAAAACATTTAAAAATAATTTATGGCGTGATTAATGGACGGCCCCATATGTACTTCAGGATAGATGTGTAAAATCTGACTTTTTGACTTCACAGTTGACGCAGTAGTTGCGCCAGATTGCAGCCGCATCAGCCGTGTTGCAGGTTTGATCCTAAAAAGAAAATACATACCTGTCAGATGAAAGTTTCAAGGTACGCATCATTGAAAAGTGTATAAATATAAATGTGGATGGATGGAGAGGGAGAGGGAGACCAAAGAAAATATGGATGGATTGTGTGAGAAGTGATATGGAAGACAGACGAGTTAGTGATAGCGTGACGAGTGACAGGACAGAATGGAAGAAAAAACATATTGCGCCAACCCCAAATAAAAAGGGACAAGGGCAGGAAGCTGATGATGATGATCCCTGAAAAAATAACGATATACAAGCGTTTTGCTCATCTCTTTATTAGGTATGTCGTCAACCACAAAGACGTCTACACTAAGGGAAATACTTGGCCAAGACTTGGAGTTAATCAAGATGGACAACATTTCCTCCTATGCGCTATAAAATAAATGGTGAGCAACTTGTAACGTAACATGTAGGTGAAATATCAGAGAACAAAGAAATATAGTGCATATCCTAAAATGTGGAAGATCCTGCCATGCTTCGACACGAAAGGGTTGGCTCAACCGGAGTGTTACCACAGCCTCACAGAAAGAAACGCTTGCTTCATTACAACTTGTATGTGAGGTCATTGCGGACACAAATGAGATGGTTATTGGTACCTAATGTAAGGTTACGATCGCGTTACCTTAAAAAAAACCGCAGTAGCCACTCTGTTGATAGTAAGCTTCTTTTTATTTTGACATTTCATAAGTTACTCTGTATTATAGCATACTTAGTTGGTTTTTTTTACTTTTGGGTTTTCTCCTTAGGTACTTTTTGGCATACTAACGTGATTAACGGCGGCAAAAACAACCGAACTCAATACAAAATGTTTATATCAATTGTGGGAGAGCCATATTTTGGCTCGACCGGAGTGATAGCACGGCCTCACAGAAAACCGTCGTGAAACAACACTTTCGTTGTGTTTCGTCGTATGAGTGAGGTTGTAGGAGGCCCAATCCTCTGGACTACAACTGTCCTTAAATGGCACAAGTTTTTCATTTCACTACATCTCTAGTGTCCTCTAATCACCCGTCTAAAAATAATTTCGTGATATATTCTCGATATTATGTCGAAATAACTTAAGTACATATATTATATGTTCGCACGGCATACGTGATCTCTATAGCGTCTGCGACATAATATGTATGTGTAAGGTAAATTGAAATACAAATATTACAAGCAGTTTATATTATTACTTTTTTCCTCTACACAGTATTAGGTATTTTTGTTTCAACATAATTGTTTGTCACTATGGACCTAGATTTTACCTGTACCTACAAATGTTTGTTTTATTAGTCATTTATTGTTTGCCAATCAATAAAATATCCTCAATGGACCGGAAAATCAGGTTCCTAAAATACCTATTGCTTTATGTAATAGGTACTGTTGTTGACACCTAAATGGAAGGCTTCATATTTTGTATCGAGGTTTAGGTTTTACTTATGCGTATTAATACTTTTGTCATCTACCTGTACCTCAAATAAATAATCTTAAAATAGAAGTGTGTCAAACATTATTGACTTTCTTTTTCTTCACCCTCGATACAAAAGAAAACTGGTTGGAAACGTTTTATTGAAGCTAAAGAACATCTGGAACAAATTTTAATAGTCGAAGTACTTTAAAAATCTATTTCAAGCAGTTCGTGCACAAAAAATCTCCATACGGAAAAGTGCCAAGCGAATTCAGTAAATAAAATTGTTTTGTTGAGGCGCGCGCGCATCTCCGCGCTACCCAGTGACGCAAGCGCACCGGCCCACAGCCAATAGGGGCACGGCTTTATACGTCAACATAAACTATGATTTACAACACAATCACTATGTTCTCAGAATATTGTACAAGGCTTTCAATTGTAGGTTTTATGTAAATGACGATTTTTTTAGGGAATATATCTTATAATCATCTGATTGAAGGTTAGCAAACCGCCCATGGATACCTGCATCGTCGAGGAGTTACCAGTGCATTGCCGGTCTTTTGGGAGTTAGGATTTAAGATATTGAAGCTGGAAGGAGAAGGATTGGGCTTCCGGTACAGAATCTTAATTCATATAATGACTAATGAGACACAACCAGCGTGTAACACTATGGTCGATCCGGCCAATTTGTGTCGAAAAATGGTTCTCTCACACTTAAATTGAAATACTCGCATAGCGTGTGTGAGTACCTAATATCTGTATCGAAATGCAGTACTATGCAGATACTAAACTATATAACAATTTTTTTTTTGTTTTGACGTTATGAGTACTTACATAAAATTTTATTACCATCACGAAAATGTTTTTTTTAAATACCTAAATCGATGTGAAAGTTAAATCAAGGTTATAACACGTACCTACCTGCTTGTAACAATCGTGATTATTTTCTGAGCGGTTACAAAACAACCTCCATTGTGTAAATTGAATGGCATAAGTAAATCGATACTTTTGGGAAAGTGCGAAAGTATTTCGGATTTAAATTGTATCGATTGCAGGTCAAATCAAATAGCGTAGCGCCGTTGCAACTTTTTGAAATTTAAGAAAGAAACGGGGATACGCTTTCTTATGTTTCTTTTATTTCGCTTTTTTAAAACTAGAATCTTCATGTCACGCGTATGATGATGATCACAGAACCGACCATATCTATACTAATATTATAAAGAGGTAAAATTTGTAAGTTTGTATGTAGGGGGTAATCTTTGGAACCGCTGGTCGGATTGCCAAAATTCTTTAACTGATAGATAGCTACAATGTTCCTGAGTACTATAGGCTATAAAACATCACGCTACGATTAAATGGAGCTGAGCAGCGGGTGAAACCGCGAGAGAGTTGCTAGTCTTCAATAGAATTTTCTCCAGATATTTGAATGATTATGTAGATTAACACAGTCAGCTGGAAGAACATTATTAAACTCCAAAGATTTACTCGTAAACTAACAGGAGGAATGGAAATGTACCACCAACACAGAAATTAGTCATTGAAACAAAAAGCTTAAACTTCCTAGTTCCGACAGCTGACTCATATTGGTAGAAACCATTTTATCACCACCTCAAAATCAAGTAATAAACAATTATACAGATTTTCCATAAATACTTATAGATGTTGTATGAAAAACGTGATCTCGTGAAAGGAGAACTTTCACTGTCATGGCGGCGCCGGTGTTAGAATGCGGTTTGGGCGGCATGAGCACTGCTCCGCCGCTCTATAATTGGAAACTATGACACACTAATTGTAACGGTACAAGAATATCAAAAGGGATCTAGGAACTTCTACTGTGGTGCTTTGCTTCAAATATTATCATGTGCATGAATACAATTCCTTCATTTCAGATATTCATCATTTATCTATCAGTTTAAAATTTTGATGCCAAATGCTGTGTTCGTTTTAGGACTATAGCATTCACTCACCTGAGTCTATAGCTTATTACTAAATGATTAATTAAGCTTATTTTGAACGGGTTATTGTTTTTTTTTTTTTAATTTGTCTCCTTCTCATATTTTCCTTGATTACCTTGCGTCCTTCATCGTTTAAAATCCGTACTATTCTTTAGTTGTCTTCAGGTTCATCTCTTATGCTATCTTTTACACCTATCTATTATCAGATATTATCTATATCTATCGGATTCTAGTTTATACCCAGTTCTAAAATTTCTATTTTACTTACGTATTCTTTTAATATTATATCAACTTAGTCTTGTGATTAAGCATTGCGAATAACGCAAATATTTTAAGTATTTTGTACGCAACCGATGTCTGAAATACCAAGATAGTTTAAAGATATCAACCAGCTATCTTCAGCTATCAGGTAGGCCTCACTTGGCCCACGTAACTGAAGATACGGTTATTGATAACTAGTGACAACTTGTCACTATATTGAAGTACGAACTGTCTATCAGTTTTTACTATCAATGATTTTTTCAAGCAGATTTGTTTCTCATTGTCTAGATCATAGATTCCCAAAGTGGTCCAGGTGGACCCCCAGGGGTCCACGGGAGCCCGACAGGGGTCTACGCTTGCGTGGAAAAAGAATGGGGGTCCACAGCTCGTTAACGGGGTCTATAAAAATGTATTAGATGACCCGACTTGACTTCTATGAATATAGGAAGACAAAATTATAAGAAGCTGAGCAATTGTTTTTGTAAGAACTTGCATATTTCATATTCAGAAAGAGCGTGTCAAGACTCGCCGATTCCGCGCCGCCCAGTTAAAGTCGTATCTGAACTTGCATGAACTTGTTGGATTTTTCCCTAATATAAATAGGAATGCGAATGATAAACATCACTCAGTTGTTTCCGGAATTTCAAAAAAGGTATCGACTGTACTGTCGACACTTCTTCTTAAAGTGCGAATATTTGAAATTTGGTTTTCTTCCATCAAATACAGACAAGCGATTGTCCATGTGTCTTTTATGCAACACTGGATTTTGATCTCAGATTACAAAGGTAATCTGAGATAAAAGTTAACATCAAAACTAATATGTAATAATTATTATTTTAAAAACAGTCGCAATATTTCATTATCAAAATTTTGATTATATTGCAAGAAATGCAATGTAATCTAAATTATAAATTTTGATTACATTGCGACTGTTTTTAAAATACTAATGATTATTAGTTTTGATGTTAAATTTTGATTCTACTAAAACTGTTATAACGACATATTAAAAGTGTAGTAATTTTTGTGTTTGAATTAAATAGTTACGAAACAAGAAAATATTTATTTTTACTTTTTACCACTCTGAAGTGGGAGCTTATTGGTTTCTTATACTGTGAGTCAATCTTAGAATACAAAAAGGTAAAGTAGGAATCTGTTGGATGAAGACGCTTTTTAGACTGGCCTTGAACTCAGCAGAGCAGAGCGTAATCTTTTTTTCGAAAACTCAGTTGATTGAAAAATAGTCACAACACAGATTTACATAGACATATACTTTTTCGGGTTTTGGAAGTAAGTTAGTAAATGTAATAGTTGCAGGGGGTCCACCAGATCCAGCAAAATGTTTAAAGTGGTCTATGAGAAAAAAAAGTTTGGGAACCTCTGGTCTAGATATTATAGTTTTTATTTCTGTAGCAAAATCTTGTACGTCTTTTCCCTTCAAGTGCTCATCGATAGCATGTTAGGGCTTGTCTTTAGTACTTTTCCTTTACGCTTATGAAAGTTTAACCTAAAAAGAATGTGAGGCAACCGTTCTTAGAATTGTGGATATTCGTCAGCGTGTTTATGTTTCTGTTTCATTTGAAACAGTACACTGTTGTAATGTCAAAATTTTATTGTATTGCTAGAACATTCTAC